TCACCGAGAACACTTCCAGGCGCAAGATGCTCATTAGAGTGCTGGGTAAACACTATTTATGCCCCAAAAGTGTTCGTATTTGTCAAGCAGTCCAGGAACTGAATAAAGACTCAGGCTGTTTATTCTTAACTGCCCCCTTGGCTGCTGACAATAAATAAAGCAAATGAGAAGAAAATGGCAATAAACTATTTTTTTCCTGCTCATCTTCAGTCTTCTGCGATTAAAGAGGACAAACTTAGACCAAAACTCTGTCAACAACTTTATCATTAATCTTACTTTTCAGTAACAACGTCTATACCCTTTGCTGGGTCTCCGGGATTGCTGAAGCTTGGAGGGGCTGTGGATAATACTGGGTAGAGCCTTCATTATCCTTTCTGAGCTGAGTCGCAGCCTAGGAATACGTTTAAATTTGCATTGAGTCACAGAGAAAGATGAAGGGGCTTTGAATGAAAACACTGTGTTTGCGGCAGGTGAGGTGGAGATTTAGAGGAATAAAGGCTGTTGTTATCTGTGCCTGCCATTGCACCAGAGTGTCAGATGCCTTTAAGGAGTCTTTTTTTTTGTTTGTTTGTTTTTGGAGACAGGGTCTTGCTCTCTCACCCAGGCTGGAGTGCAGTGGTGTGATCAAGGCTCACTGCCAGTCTTGACCCCAGGGCTCAATCAATCCTTCCACCTCAGCCTCCTGAGTAGCTGGGACTACAGGCGCTTGCCGCCACACCCAGCTAATTTTTGTATATTTTGTAGAAGGGATTTTGTCATGTTGCCCAGGCTGATCTCCAACTCCCGGATTCAAGTGATCTACCCACCTTGGCCTCCCAAGTGCCCCAAAGGGATTATAAACATGAGCCACCTCGCCTGGTCTAAGATATCATCTTTAAAGAATATCACCGTTTTCAATAGAGATTATGGAGACCGGAAGGTATGCATATAAGGCAGGCTAAGTGGCTCTGAACAGCAGCATGGGAAATATTGAAAACAGGCCAGAAAGTTTGCAGAGCTGCTGACAGCAGGTGCCTAATGGTCTCCAGGGTGCGTAAGCTTAATAGGGAAACCTTTAAATAAGGCCTGGAAACCACCTCAAGGCCAATTTGCAAACACGGTCTGAGGCCAGTGTCACAGGGCTTCAAAACCCCTCCCTGCCAGAAAAAAGCATTCCCTGAGCTCTCCCCTAGGGAATGAAGTCCCAGGAAGGCTTGGAGAGGAGAGAAGCCAGGCAGCAGGAGGGAAGAGGACTTTCCTGCAGGCCTGGTTCTGAAATTCTTGTCTCCTGCTGGTCAAGAGTCTACTCACGTGACCTCTTGTAAAGCGCCCTCGGAAACAGATCCTGGCTTCGTTTCCGCCCAGCCTCTTTTGCTTGTTAGTGTATGCAAATGTGACTGTTAATGAAAGCAGGGTTTGTTTTCTGGACTCAAGAGCTGAACATTCAAGTGGGATCAAGAGGGGGACTTGGCTTTTTGTGCCTTCATCAACAGCAGGGCTCCTAGGGGGCCTGTAATTCAGAGCCGAATTTTACTGTCAAAATTTTAAGGAGGGGGAAATTAACTTGAGGAGCAGACAACTCCTGTTTCCCCAGCTGTTGACTCACTGACGGTGACTGTGTATGAACTGCCTTTCTGTGTTTACACACAGACGTATATGGCCTAAGAGGAACGCTTTGGGGGGGGGGGGGACTAAAAAAAAAAAAAACCACTCTTTTGATGTCAGTCAAGTCTTAACACCATTGAGAAATAATGATCAAATGCAAGCTAAAGCTTTATGTCTTTCAATGTCTACAAGACTATTTCAGTATTTAGGAAATACAATGAAAGACACTTAAAGGAGAGATCATCCACAGCCTCCCATCCTAGAGACAAAGCCCCTGGTCTGGAGATGACCTTCATGTTCGCAGCGTTACAATAGGTGGCTGTTCGGACACGAGCGGGGCAGGAAAGGGCTCCCCCTACCCACCAGGAAACTCAGGCGACCATCAGGTGATGGTCAGGTGGTTAACTCTCTCTCTAAAGTAATAACTGGTCGCAGCCAGCACCAAGGAAAGGCAGTCTCCCAACAAAGACAAACACCTCAAACTGGCGAGCAGCAGCTTCCCGATAAGATCTCAGGAGTTGGGCGAGTGGGCTCACGCATGCGCATGAAGAGGCAACATGGCGGAGCTTCAGCGGTACACCACCTCCTAGGGACGTCTGACTGGTAAAGGAAGAATGCCCCAGCTGAGCACGCCTGTAACTCCAGTAAACACACCGCACATGCCGCCCCTCCCAGGCATTAGCAGGCCACTGTGCGCGGACAGCTCATCCCAAGAGAAGAATCAGGGGAGAAGAGATGTAAGCCCCTGGAAGAATGCCAATGTGTAAACCCCCGGCTCAAAAGTCCAAGAGTGCACTGGATCTCTCGAGTCGCCGGCCTGGCCCTCTTCCAAGTGCACTTTATTCTCTTTTGTTCCTGCTCGAATGCTTTTTCATACACTTTCATTCCTCTCTAAAACTTGTCTTCGGCCGGGTGTGGTGGCTCACGCCTGTAATCCCAGCACTTCGGGAGGCTGAGGCGGGTGGGTCACGAGGTCAGGAGTTCAGGACCAGCCTGACTAAAAATACAAAAATTAGTCGGGCGTGGTGATGGGTGTCTGTAATCCCAGCTACTGTGGAGGCAGAAAATTGCTTGAACCTGGGAGGAGGAGGTTGCAGTGAGCTGAGATCGCGCCACTGCACTCCAGCCTGGGCGACAGAGCAAGATTCCGTCTCAAAAAAACAAACAAACAAACAAACAAAACAAAACTTGTCTTAGGCTCTCACTCTACCTGGTTCCTCGCAGTCAAATTCTTTCTCCTGAGGAGGCAAGTAACTGAGGTTGCTGCAGCCTCTAGGGATGCGCCACTGCTAAAAATAGGACCCAGAGCCTCTTCCTCTCTGGCCTCAGGCCTCCTACTCCCTTCCCTCTCTAGCTCTACTCTGTTCTAGCCCCGCGGGCAGCTTCCATTTCTTAAACACGGCTGCACACTCCCCGGCCTTAGGGCCTTCACGCTGGCAGCTCCCCCTGCGTGGAAGGTTCTTTCAACAGATAGCACACAGACATCCCCATACTTCTTTTAGGTCTTAACCTTATCCTCTCTGGCCATTCTAGCTAAAATTTCAGCCTCCCCCAACACTATCTTCTTTCCTGCTTTATTACTTTTCTTCCTAGCTTATCTCTGCTGTGTTACACATTTTCCTTATCTAACCTGTCTGCTGTCTCTCCTCCTCTAAGCTGTAAGCTTCATGAAGGTAAGGATTCTCGTCTGTTTTGTTCAGCCTTATGGCTGTGCACATCATAAGCGTTCAATGAATAAATACGTGGTGAGTGAATGAAAAAATGAGTCAATGGACGTAACATGTGGGAAGGGAAGACTTTTTTCTCCAGAAACAAAGATGTCTTTGGAGGTGGCTCTGCTGCACGGGATGGCCATCTCTTTCCATTGTCTCTGACTAAGGCTTCTGGCTATGGAGAGTCACAGATCTTGGCACTAGCACATTGAGTGCTGGGAATTATAAGAAGCTGCCCACGGCCGAATCATGTGTAGTATAAGGCAGACATCTGCTGGGTGATTACCAAGCCTGCTTCCCCTGCTGAGCTCTCAGATATGCTGTACTTACTGCCTCTTTGTGTCCCAGTGGGGCTAAGTGGCCAGTGGAACCTAGGCAGAAGTGATACGTGCTATTTCTAGGCCAGCCCCTAAGACATCCTATGTGACTGATCATGCTCTCGGCTGAAAGGAGGAGGAATTAGTGGAGAAATCTGAGACCCTAAAAGGTGGTAGGGCTAACAGATGGGAGGAACCTGGGTCCTTGAATGACCCTGTGGGTCAGTGCCCCACCCCCACATAGGACTTTGCCAAGGATGTGTCCTATGTAGGGGTGGGGCACTGACCCACAGAGTCATTCAAGGACTCAAGTTTCTCGCATCTGTCAGCCCCACCATCTTTTAGGGTCTCAGATTTCTCCATTAATTCCTCCTAATTTCAGCCGAGAGCATGAGGACAGTCACATAGGATGTCTTACGGGCCAGGCCTAGAGGTGGCAGCTAGTATGACTCACCCTGATGACACAGATATTAAGGCCATTATATTAGAAAGTGCCATGTAAGGCAATAAGGCACATGGTTATCTGGTACATGTCACATCATAAGGGAAAGCTAATTTACCTTCCTTAATTGGAAGTTCAGCCTCACTGGACTTCTGTGAAAATTACAATGAATTGCCAAAGGTGAGATAGGAGGAGATGGGGAGAATCTATTAAAATGGTTCTTCAAGGTAACGGTCTTCTTCCTTAAACACTGCTACTAATTACACACATGGGCAGCAGCTGGGGCAATCTTTGCAGACAAACTTGCAGGGAACCATAACCCAACCCCAGTTTTAAGATACTGAAAACTTAGAGGCCACTGCTGTCATCAACGTGCACAGTTTTCTTTTTTGACACCATCTCACTCTGTTGCCCAGGCTGCAATGCAGTGGCACAATCTTGGCTCACTGCAGCCTCCGCCTCTGAGGCTCAAGCAATTCTCATGCCTCAACGGCCCAAGTAGCTGAGTTTGCAGACGTGCACCACCACGTTTGGCTAATTTTTGTGTTTTTAGTAGAGATGGGGTTTCGCCATGTTGGCCAGAGTGGTCTCAAACTCCTGACCTCAGGCGATCCACCTGCCTCGGCTTCCGAAAGTGCTGGGATTACAGCCATGAGCCACCATGCCTGGCCAACATGCACATTTCATAATGTGAAACCGACACTGTCTACACTCCAGGTTGAAGCTTTCAATATGGAGTTTCTATGACCAGTGATAATTTCTGTGCATACTAAACGTGATCCACTTTGAAAGGGGAGTTTCTTCCTCTTTCGCCTGGGTCAGGGACGTCACGCCAACACCACCAGCCACACTAAAACGTCAGGTCCTGCTCTCGAGGCCCAACCAGAGCTGAAGTATTCCCATAACACAGCAATAAACAAACACGAAAATGTAGCAAAACATTACCTGCCCGGCAAGCATTTCATACAACAGGACGCCATAGGCCCACCAGTCCACAGATTTTCCATATGGCTGATAAGCGATAATCTGTGTGAAAACAAACACATCAATTACATTAGGGGTAAGTCCAATAGCCCCTGTCAGAACAGGTTAGTCAAGCAGGCAGGGATTTATACACTCAGTTCATGCAGATGAGGTGCCAAGATCTGTCTTTGATGTTACAACAAGGGAAGAGGATCCTCCAAACCAGACACACCGAGAACTATTACCCCGAAATTCACTGCCCATGGCTGGTTTGGGGAATCTTGTTCTGAATCCACCTGGAGATGCCACAGCACTGTCTGAAGGTAGTTTTAAGTATCCTCACTGGCAGAAAGTATGTGGACACTAAGGTGGATTTAATGTTGAGAAAACGTTAGAGGCTGGGTGCAGTAGCTCACACCTCTAATCCCAGCACTTTGGGAGGCTGAGGCAGGAAGATTGCTTGAATCCAGGAGTTTGAAACCAGCTTGGGCAACATAGTAAGATCCTGTCTCTATTTTTAAAAAAATTAATAAAAAAAAAAAAAAAGAAAAAGTAAAAGCCAGAGGTCATTCTGAGTCTGACACATAAGATGATGGAACAGGGCTTTACTAAGAGTATAATAGTAAGGACGATGATAAGGAAACATTGTAATTTTCTTGTGTTGCACGGAGAAGTGCAATGATATACATTCAGTTTGTTGAACGACAGAAGTTTGTAAAACATTTATAAAAAGGCATAAAATGTAGTAAGCAAATATAATATCTGGAGCCAACTGCAACAAAGAAAATTTGAAACAACTGGGAAAATTAAGATACAATCTGGATGTCAGATGATACTGAGGGTTTACCATTCATTTTGTTAGGTGGCATAATGGTATGTTGACTAGTTAGAAAACATGTTTTCTAACTGGGTGTGGTGGTGTGAGTCTGGAGTCCCAGCTACTTGGGAGGCTGAGGCAGGAGGATCGCTTGAGCCCAGGAGTTTAAGGCTAGCCTGGGCAACATAGCAAGACCCTGTCTCTTAAAAAGTGATAATAATATTAAAACATTTTTAAAGTGTGCTTATCAGTTAGAAATGAGTATATTTATGGGTGAAAACAGATAAGAGATAAAGTGTTTATGGGTGAACTGACATGATAAATTTTTAAAAAAACACTTTAATAAATGAGGTGGGAGAAAAACAGATGAAATGAGTTGGCAAATGCTGGCAGCTGTTGAAATTGAGTGATGAGTCTACAGGGGGCTCATTCTACACTTCCTTCTACCTTTGTGGCTATCAGAAGTACTAGAATAATTCTATAACCTCCCTTTGTGGAAGGCAGTAACATGGATTTGAATGTCTAAGTATGGCAGGGCTTATTAAAACACTGGCTTCATTACCTCTCAGGTAGGCTGTGTACCTGCTGCACACAATTCCCAGACCCATGGATCACGTGCCAGGGTTCAAGGTCAAGACACACTTAACAGGTACTCAGCACAACCATTCTGCCACGTCGCTTACAACTTTTACTTTGACATGTTCTGGGATTTTTTTTAATGGTCCAGAATGTCTAATTAAATGTCCTGGGACATAAAACTTTCTGCACATCTGCCCACTTACATTTCTTTAATGTATTACTAATATTTCTGCATGCAGAATGAGAAACACGAGAGCCAACAGTTTGCCTAAGTGTGGGCAGCAACAAGGGTAAACAAGATTAGATCTGGCACCTTTGTAGCTCATTTCCTTGACAAGAAAATGATATAAACATAGGAACCTACAAGGAGTCTCTAATTTCTTTTACAACCTTTGTTCTCTTCTGCACATTCTTTTCTGAAAACTTGGAAAATACAAACATAAAAAACCCCAACAAATGAATCTCCAGTCTATTGCTTGGAGATGATACATCTCATTCCAGTTCCAGAAAAAATTTTGCATCAAAGGAGTTGCATATTTTTATAACCTTTGGTACAATGGTAAATTGCTCTCCCAAAAGGACTGGACTGAATTTATCTCCCTGATACCAATGTCACTATCTTTTCCATTGCCAGGTAAAACCTTTCTGTTAAAAATAATCTTTTTGTGTTTTAAAAAAAAATTCCACAAGCCATGCATGCTCATTAAAGAACAATTAGAAAGAAAATGACAAGCTAAAGAAATAAGGAAGTGGCCGGGCATGGTGGCTCACGCCTGTACTCCCAGCACTTTGGGAGACCAAGGCAGGTGGATCATGAGGTCAAGAGATGGAGACCATCCTGGCCAACATGGTAAAACCCCGTCTCTACTGAAAATACAAAAATTAGCTGGGCGTAGTGATGTGTGCCTGTAGTCCCAGCTGCTTGGGAGGCTGAGGCAGGAGAATTGCTTGAGCCCGGGAGCTAGAGGTTGCAGTGAGCCGAGATTGCTCACCACTGTACTCCAGTCTGGGCGACAGAGGGAGACTCCATCTCAAAAAAAGAAATAAGGAAGTAAAATTGTTTATGATCTCACTATTCAGAAATATTAATAATGTTATGTTCATATAAAACCTTTCCATATTTTTTCTAGGTGTGATATATGTATGCATATGCATTAAAAACTGAATTATGTGCACCCGCTATTCTGTGGTCAGTTTGTTTATTTAATAATATATCATGAGTATCTTGGCAAGACCTTCAACTATTTCCACAGGATAAATTCCTGTCAGTAGAATTGCTGGGTCAAAATAAATGCTTCTAACTCAAAAGTACAACTTTTAAATACCCATTGCTGTCCAGGCACAGTGGCTCATGCCTGTAATTCCAGCACTTTGGGAAGCCGAGGTGGGTGGATTACTTGAGGTCAGGAGAGTTTGAGGCCAGCCTGGCCAACATGGTGACAACCCGTTTCTACTAAAAATACAAAAAAGTTAGCCAGGCATGGTGGTGCATGCCTGTAATCCCAGCTACATGGGAGGCTGAGGCAGGAGAGTTGCTTGAACCCATGAGGCAGAGGTTGCAGTGAGCCAAGATTACGCCCATTGCACTCCAGCCTGGGTGACAGAGCAAGACGCTGTCTCAAAAAAAAAAAAAAAAAAAAAAAGGACACATTGCCAGGTTACTCAAAATAGTAGCATGTTTACTCCCACCAGTAAACAAGTGCCCGTTTTCTGAATTCTCAAACTTCTGGCCTTAAGCATTATCCTAGTTATCTTCCCAGACATGTGCATCTTCATGTAAGCCAGCCCAGTCTTTGGCAAGGAACTCCTCAAACTCATCGACTTCACCAAGAGACCTAGGTCTACCTGCTGCTTTTTCTCTCACATTGCAACCCTCCACATCCCATACTTCCCAGATCAGCAGGAAAGTTGGAACCCTCACTCTTGCCTCAACACAGCCACTCCCATGGCTACTGCTGCCATGGCAGACACTACCATAGAGCTAGAAACATTTAAACCCGTACTTCTACCTGGATCAGAAAGAAGCTGCTATGTTAATTTTAGGACTACCTTTAAGTCTTAGTAGGGCCAGTCGGGGGGCGTTGCTGATCTTGGCTGGGTGCTCTCACATCTGGGAGTCAGCTAAATGCTGGCTGATCTAGGCTGGTGCCATTGTAATCACTGGGCAATTCTGTTTCCGTTTGTTTTTTGAAGTTAGAACAGAAAACAGAGCACTGCTATACCACAAAAACACACATTGACTATATAATTTCCCAATTGCCTAGATCAAAAAATTGTGAAAAACTTAAAATTAGTAAGTGTCTGAACAAATGTTTACATGGAAGCTTTCCTACTGCAGCATTCTACGTTTAAACATCCTATCCTATTACCTACTATGGGAGACACTGCCATAGTCCATTTCATAACTATTTGTTTAATGAATAATGAATATATAGATAAGTGAATGGATGCATGAATGAACAAATGAACTTACACATACTTGGATCTGTTTCTGGTCTTTCCATCTGTTTCTCTGGTGGCATTCTCTATTTCCTGCATCTGAATGGCAGAAGCTGTGCCAACTAGAAATGTATAAATCTGAGAGGAAATATAAAGTACTCCCAAGAATGGAAGCATTCCACCCATGGGAAACTCTGCTTATCCAGAAAAACCAGGGGGATAATTAAATGAGTGAATGTAAATGGATTTTGTTTGAAAACTGTAGGGTGGTATGCAAACATCAAGCACTGCTATAATTTTGATCAAATGATAAGTCTCTTCCATTTATCTTAGTGGGAAATCTTCAATTAGTCAAACTGGAAAATATCATTTTAAAAAAGAACTTGAATCAAAGGATTAACGAGCCCAACGATTTTCTTTGAAAAGGATCACAAGACCCAGTGTCTTGGCTTAGGGCTGTTCTCTAAAACAATATTCTGGTTTTTCTTGTTTATTTGCTTGTTTGTTTGAGACAGAATCTCGCTCTATCACCCAGGCTGGAGTGCAGTGGCACGATCTCGGCTCACTGCAACCTCCACCTTCTGGGATCAAGCGATTCTCCTGCCTCAGCCTCCCAATTAGCTGAGATTACAGGCGCCCGCCATCATGCCTGGCTAATTTTTTGTATTTTTAATAGAGATGGGGTTTCACCATGTTAGCCAGGATGGTCTCGATCTCCTGACCTCATGATCCACCTGCCTTAGCCTCCCAAAGTGCTGGGATTACAGGTATGAGCCACCATGCCCGGCCCTCTCTAAAATAATATTCTAAGAAAATGTGACAAGGTTCCACAAACATAATTATTGTTTCACACACCTTGTCCCTATCAACAGAGTCTTTGCAGAGCTGCAAATTATAAAATTAAAGAAAAACACACTCTGTGATGCTAGGTGGGAAACGTGGCTTTCCCCAAACAAAATTCGCAGGGGAGAAAAAGTTGTGCAGCAGGTCACACTGTTCTCAAGATGGTCCTGGTTGGGAGGGGGGAGGTAGAATGCTAAAGGAGAAATGCATAGGAAAAAAATAACATATTTGGAACTCAGTGGCTAGCTACTGATGTACTTCTCTAACAGTTCAATCCAAAGCAAAGTATTAAACACAGGAAAATTAAGATCTGATTCACACTGGCTATTTGGAAATGCTTTTTTTTTTTTTTTGAGACAGTGTCTTGCTCTGTTGCCCAGGTTGG